ATGGTGTTGAGCACTGTCAGCACGCTGGGTACACCCTCCGCCATGGTGTTGAGCACTGTCAGCACACTGGGTACACCCTCCGTCATGGTGTTGAGCACTGTCAGCACACTGGGTACACCCTCCGCCATGGTGTTGAGCACAGTCAGCACACTGGGTACACCCTCCGGTAAGTAATATACATGTACATGTACACAAAGGTCAAAAAGAATGGTTCAACCAATTATTATATACATACGTTGTAACGCTGCGGCACACTGTGGTGTCCACATTCAACAGCCGCGGGTATTCAGAGGATGCGGCGGTGATAGTGGTAGCGCGCACAACGTATGTATTATATAATTGGTTGAACCATTCTTTTTGACCTTTGTGGTTACGCTCCGCCCTTGTGGTGTTGAGCACTGTTGAAACCTGGGTATACCCACTTATTATTATTATTATTAAATTTTTGATAGGGCAATCCCCACAGGCCTAAGGCCTTTTGACAGGGTACCCTAAAAAATGAAGAACAGAATTACGGAAGGTATGCAAGGAAGAACTTGAGCGGACCTCCGCTGGGAGGGCATTCCAGCGGTCAGAGCCAAGGAAAGTGACAGAAAATAAACCATAGCGACGTTTGGCTGTCGGAAGAGCAAGGCAAGAGGACACTTGAGAGCAGGTGCGAGAACTAGTGCAGGTAGAATTAGAGCGGAGACAGAAACAGTTAGCAACAAAGACACTAGCCAGATCATGAAGCGCACGGTACGTTAGAACGTACAACTTGAATTGGTACCTGACAGACAAGGGAATGATAATGGTAGCGGGCAAGAACAAGGGAGACATCAGATAGGCGGGGCATGCAAAATACAATACGCAGCGCTCTATTGCTAAGTCGGACAACACGGTCATGGAGGGAGGCAGAAAGGCAGTGAGCAAAGGAATTAGACCCATACTCAAGTATGGACTGAATGGAACAGATGTAGAAAGCCCTCTTAGCATCGATCGTTAAAATGGTCTCGGACCTTTCTAAACATTCCTAACTTACAGCCTATTTTACGTTCTAATTGTGCAATGTGAACTCCAAAGGAGAGATGTTCGTCAAGAACTATACCGAGGTATTTCACGTGTGCACTAGGGGTGATGGTGACATCTTCAATCTGAACGTTGACATCGGGGTCAAGAGGTTTCGACTTTGGCCTGAACACAACAAGCTGGGTTTTCGAGGAGTTCAACATTATGTACATGTACATGTACATGCGTTCCTGACAGTATATTTTTCAAGAGTACGTGTACCGTACTATCTCTAATATAAGCACGGTCCTTTATTTTTTCAATGTACCTCCGCCCCGTGCTATTAATGGAGACGTTCCTTTATTGGAGACTGTTCCATTATTATTTCAACCTCATTTCAGAGGCATGTTGCCATGCCAAATTCATGTATGACACACACATTTCAGGGTTTTTTCGCCGGTACAGATAATGAATTTTCACAGTGTTCTTATAATGGAGACTGAGCACTTTATTTTTTGAATGTCGCCCCAAGGTGTTCTATTATTGGAGACGTGCTATTATTGGAGACTGTGCTTATATTAGAGATAATACGGTATCTACATTGTAAAGGTTCCTTTGTAATCATACAGTACATGCACCTGATCATCATACAGTACATGCACCTGATCATCATACAGTACATGCACCTGATCATCATACAGTACATGCACCTGATCATCATACAGTACATGCACCTGATCATCATACAGTACATGCACCTGATCATCATACAGTACATGCACCTGATCATCATACAGTACATGCACCTGATCATCATACAGTACATGCACCTGATCATCATACAGTACATGCACCTGATCATCATACAGTACATGCACCTGATCATCATACAGTACATGCACCTGATCATCATACAGTACATGCACCTGATCATCATACAGTACATGCACCTGATCATCATACAGTACATGCACCTGATCATCATACAGTACATGCACCTGATCATCATACAGTACATGCACCTGATCATCATACAGTACATGCACCTGATCATCATACAGTACATGCACCTGATCATCATACAGTACATGCACCTGATCATCATACAGTACATGCACCTGATCATCATACAGTACATGCACCTGATCATCATACAGTACATGCACCTGATCATCATACAGTACATGCACCTGATCATCATACAGTACATGCACCTGATCATCATACAGTACATGCACCTGATCATCATACAGTACATGCACCTGATCATCATACAGTACATGCACCTGATCATCATACAGTACATGCACCTGATCATCATACAGTACATGCACCTGATCATCATACAGTACATGCACCTGATCATCATACAGTACATGCACCTGATCATCATACAGTACATGCACCTGATCATCATACAGTACATGCACCTGATCATCATACAGTACATGCACCTGATCATCATACAGTACATGCACCTGATCATCATACAGTACATGCACCTGATCATCATACAGTACATGCACCTGATCATCATACAGTACATGCACCTGATCATCATACAGTACATGCACCTGATCATCATACAGTACATGCACCTGATCATCATACAGTACATGCACCTGATCATCATACAGTACATGCACCTGATCATCATACAGTACATGCACCTGATCATCATACAGTACATGCACCTGATCATCATACAGTACATGCACCTGATCATCATACAGTACATGCACCTGATCATCATACAGTACATGCACCTGATCATCATACAGTACATGCACCTGATCATCATACAGTACATGCACCTGATCATCATACAGTACATGCACCTGATCATCATACAGTACATGCACCTGATCATCATACAGTACATGCACCTGATCATCATACAGTACATGCACCTGATCATCATACAGTACATGCACCTGATCATCATACAGTACATGCACCTGATCATCATACAGTACATGCACCTGATCATCATACAGTACATGCACCTGATCATCATACAGTACATGCACCTGATCATCATACAGTACATGCACCTGATCATCATACAGTACATGCACCTGATCATCATACAGTACATGCACCTGATCATCATACAGTACATGCACCTGATCATCATACAGTACATGCACCTGATCATCATACAGTACATGCACCTGATCATCATACAGTACATGCACCTGATCATCATACAGTACATGCACCTGATCATCATACAGTACATGCACCTGATCATCATACAGTACATGCACCTGATCATCATACAGTACATGCACCTGATCATCATACAGTACATGCACCTGATCATCATACAGTACATGCACCTGATCATCATACAGTACATGCACCTGATCATCATACAGTACATGCACCTGATCATCATACAGTACATGCACCTGATCATCATACAGTACATGCACCTGATCATCATACAGTACATGCACCTGATCATCATACAGTACATGCACCTGATCATCATACAGTACATGCACCTGATCATCATACAGTACATGCACCTGATCATCATACAGTACATGCACCTGATCATCATACAGTACATGCACCTGATCATCATACAGTACATGCACCTGATCATCATACAGTACATGCACCTGATCATCATACAGTACATGCACCTGATCATCATACAGTACATGCACCTGATCATCATACAGTACATGCACCTGATCATCATACAGTACATGCACCTGATCATCATACAGTACATGCACCTGATCATCATACAGTACATGCACCTGATCATCATACAGTACATGCACCTGATCATCATACAGTACATGCACCTGATCATCATACAGTACATGCACCTGATCATCATACAGTACATGCACCTGATCATCATACAGTACATGCACCTGATCATCATACAGTACATGCACCTGATCATCATACAGTACATGCACCTGATCATCATACAGTACATGCACCTGATCATCATACAGTACATGCACCTGATCATCATACAGTACATGCACCTGATCATCATACAGTACATGCACCTGATCATCATACAGTACATGCACCTGATCATCATACAGTACATGCACCTGATCATCATACAGTACATGCACCTGATCATCATACAGTACATGCACCTGATCATCATACAGTACATGCACCTGATCATCATACAGTACATGCACCTGATCATCATACAGTACATGCACCTGATCATCATACAGTACATGCACCTGATCATCATACAGTACATGCACCTGATCATCATACAGTACATGCACCTGATCATCATACAGTACATGCACCTGATCATCATACAGTACATGCACCTGATCATCATACAGTACATGCACCTGATCATCATACAGTACATGCACCTGATCATCATACAGTACATGTGAGCGGACAAGGTAGAAATGGAACGTTAGCTGCATGACATCATTTTGAGATACAGGCGTTTGAAGTTTGGCAAACTGTGGCATATTTTTTACCTGGGTTAGAGGGCTCTATTTGCATCAAGCGCTTGTGCCTCGCTCATCACAGGGCTTCAAGGTCCAGCACTGAAAATTTGAAGTGAATCCGTTATGGCTGAAGGAAGATATGGCAGCTAGTTGTGCGACGGGTGGCGTATTGACGGGCGAATTTGGAGGTGACGGCGATCAGCTGATAGCCTGCTGTCAGGTGCTGAGAGCTTCTTTGATTCTGAGCGCGTTTCTGAGTCAGGTAGTAGTCGAGAGCGTCTTCCATTACGCCGAAAACGACGTGCCGATCAGCGTTTTGTTTGCTGCTGGCTTCAGCGCGGTACAAAAAGACATAGGGAACAAATGAGATGGATCTTTCGGATGCAGGCGAACGTGGTGACAGCAGTGATGATGATAACACCAATGAAGGGGAACGTTCCTGTGGATGCTGAGTTGTACTGAATGTATACGCCGAACCGACTTCAGAGCTCTGAAGCACACAGGGCAGGAGCTGAAGAAACAATAGCGTCGTGCACCACAGGGGAACGTATACAGGGACTTAATAGCCCAGAACAACTAGCTAGCTGTTGCCCAATACATTGGATGGAAGTGGCAGACCTGCATCGTGCACTGTCTGGAAATGAGTGTTTTAAGAATTGAGATACACAGAATGGTCCAGGCTGGTGAACATGAGCTGAGTGGAAAGAAGTTAAATCGGGCCTCGGATTGCGGACTGATGCGTAACGTTACGTTAAGTACAGTTTCTCAAGTCTGTGGACTCGTCCTGCTTCGCCAATGGGCACCGTATTGGTGGTGCGTCTCCGGAATATCATTTCGATGCTGTGTGTTCAAGAGCTGTCTGTCTCCTGCCAAAATGTTACAAACTATATTACCAAGGTGCGCCGCTCAGTCGTCGGGAGCCTCAATGCATCAGAGCAGAGTCCGAGGTCGCCAACAGTATACGATGAGAGCGTGCACACATGGCTGAAGCAAAAACGCACTGGAATTACCATTTGTCCGCCAAATTCTTCTATTTTTGACATGTGTGTAGTGGTATTTGATGTGTGGATTGAGTACCAGCTTCAACAGTCCTATTATTTTGCCTTGCATCACGAGTTACTCTGGAGCTGATTTTTCGGCTCCGGCTGTTTCTAGTTATGTGGTTTTGTTGCTTGGTTCCACCTCAAACGAGTCCATGTGTGTGATCAGCTCATCTTTCACACTGGTATACACTTGTGGAGAAATATAGGCCAAGATAATGGTTTTTTTTCAGTGTTTAGGTTGTACTGAAGGGTGGACTGTTTAAATCATCCTGAAACAGACGTTAAAATACTGACCGGCATCTAGAAAATGGTGAATGTAAGGCACTTCCCACCATAGTATCAGCCTGAAACTTTGGGATCTGAAAATCAGATAGTTGTAGGTGACCTTCATGCAAAAAAACAGTTTTTGCCAGACTGCAGTTAACGTTCCATTTCTACCTTGTCCGCTCACACATGCACCTGATCATCATACAGTACATGCACCTGATCATCATACAGTACATGCACCTGATCATCATACAGTACATGCACCTGATCATCATACAGTACATGCACCTGATCATCATACAGTACATGCACCTGATCATCATACAGTACATGCACCTGATCATCATACAGTACATGCACCTGATCATCATACAGTACATGCACCTGATCATCATACAGTACATGCACCTGATCATCATACAGTACATGCACCTGATCATCATACAGTACATGCACCTGATCATCATACAGTACATGCACCTGATCATCATACAGTACATGCACCTGATCATCATACAGTACATGCACCTGATCATCATACAGTACATGCACCTGATCATCATACAGTACATGCACCTGATCATCATACAGTACATGCACCTGATCATCATACAGTACATGCACCTGATCATCATACAGTACATGCACCTGATCATCATACAGTACATGCACCTGATCATCATACAGTACATGCACCTGATCATCATACAGTACATGCACCTGATCATCATACAGTACATGCACCTGATCATCATACAGTACATGCACCTGATCATCATACAGTACATGCACCTGATCATCATACAGTACATGCACCTGATCATCATACAGTAGTAGTAGTAGTAGTAGTAGAATTTATTATTTTGATAGGGAAGGCCCTACAGACGTTGCCGTCTTGTTACAGGGAACCCTAAGTGCTCTTTACAGAGCGAAACAAAAACGGATAGATGCTCAACCTGACGACACGAGACAGGCAGAGAATTCCACCTATCAGCGCCAAGGAAAGAAATGGAGAACATGCCATATCTAGTGGTAGCAGCGGGCAAAGAAAGTGAAGAGAATGATTGCCCTCTAGTGCGCCTCTCGGTGCAAGTAGCAGCCGACTGGAGGGTGAACATTGAGGAAAGAAGAGGACTTGTAAGCTGATGAATACAGCGGAAAACAAAAATAAAAAGCCTCAAGTTGAGACGAGATTCGAGGGAGTATAACTTAGCGTGCCGCAAAACAAAGACAGTCGGGGTACGGCACATGCACCTGATCATCATACAGTACATGCACCTGATCATCATACAGTACATGCACCTGATCATCATACAGTACATGCACCTGATCATCATACAGTACATGCACCTGATCATCATACAGTACATGCACCTGATCATCATACAGTACATGCACCTGATCATCATACAGTACATGCACCTGATCATCATACAGTACATGCACCTGATCATCATACAGTACATGCACCTGATCATCATACAGTACATGCACCTGATCATCATACAGTACATGCACCTGATCATCATACAGTACATGCACCTGATCATCATACAGTACATGCACCTGATCATCATACAATCAATCATTGTAATCTGACTGTCCTTGGAACACCCGGAACATCCGCAAGGAAGTCATTCTCTTCACAACGCTGCACTGTTTGTTGGGTGCTACATGTAGTAGTAGTACTAGTAGTACCTCTTTTCTGTTCTAGTCTCAGTGACTGGCAAGGCTAGCTCGCTGTCTCTGGTCTGGATCTCTGGCATCAGTACTGAGTCTGTAGTCCTGGCAGGCAGTGCTGGCACTAGCATACACTACACTTGCACTGACTATCAATATGCCGGACTCTGGTGATTGGAGTCTCCGAGTTGAGGGCGGAGTTGTCGCCTGCGTGTGCCATACTGTACAATGACAATGTAATTATGTCCTATACTGTGATCATCACCGCACATGGTGTACATCTACAGCCTGTAGATGTACACCATGTGCAGGGTGCTGCGCCTGCACTGCTGGCCGTTCCACTGAATCTACGCGATAGTCGTTCCCCTGCTGCTGCTGTTTCTCCTCGCCATTCTCACCCTCTTGTCCCTGCTCTCTGTCATCCGCAGGCTCGCGACCTTGATCCTGTTGCTGCTGCTGCTGTTGTTGTTGTTGTCGCAGTTGCTGCATACGCTGGACTGGCTGCTGTTGCTTACCACCGGGGCGCTGCTGGCGTGGAATCGGCTGTGGCTGGCGTGGAAGCTGCCCGCGCCGCTCCGCACCACTCTTCATCATGACGCGCCCCGGCTGTGGCCTCCTGCGCTGCATTCGCATTTCGCCGTCGTCTTCCTCGTCAACGCCATTGCCAGGCATACGCCGCACACCACCGAAACTCTGACCAGCTGCTTGTCTGCCAGGATTCTGGAATTGGCCAGGTCGGTCGTCCCCCTCCTGCACATTCTGCACTGGGGCATTAAACCTTTGTCCCTGTGGCACACGCCGCTCCGCACCACTCTTCATCATGACGCGCCCCGGCTGTGGCCTCCTGCGCTGCATTCGCATTTCGCCGTCGTCTTCCTCGTCAACGCCATTGCCAGGCATACGCCGCACACCACCGAAACTCTGACCAGCTGCTTGTCTGCCAGGATTCTGGAATTGGCCAGGTCGGTCGTCCCCCTCCTGCACATTCTGCACTGGGGCATTAAACCTTTGTCCCTGTGGCACACGCCGCTCCGCACCACTCTTCATCATGACGCGCCCCGGCTGTGGCCTCCTGCGCTGCATTCGCATTTCGCCGTCGTCTTCCTCGTCAACGCCATTGCCAGGCATACGCCGCACACCACCGAAACTCTGACCAGCTGCTTGTCTGCCAGGATTCTGGAATTGGCCAGGTCGGTCGTCCCCCTCCTGCACATTCTGCACTGGGGCATTAAACCTTTGTCCCTGTGGCACACGCCGCTCCGCACCACTCTTCATCATGACGCGCCCCGGCTGTGGCCTCCTGCGCTGCATTCGCATTTCGCCGTCGTCTTCCTCGTCAACGCCATTGCCAGGCATACGCCGCACACCACCGAAACTCTGACCAGCTGCTTGTCTGCCAGGATTCTGGAATTGGCCAGGTCGGTCGTCCCCCTCCTGCACATTCTGCACTGGGGCATTAAACCTTTGTCCCTGTGGCACACGCCGCTCCGCACCACTCTTCATCATGACGCGCCCCGGCTGTGGCCTCCTGCGCTGCATTCGCATTTCGCCGTCGTCTTCCTCGTCAACGCCATTGCCAGGCATACGCCGCACACCACCGAAACTCTGACCAGCTGCTTGTCTGCCAGGATTCTGGAATTGGCCAGGTCGGTCGTCCCCCTCCTGCACATTCTGCACTGGGGCATTAAACCTTTGTCCCTGTGGCACACCTGCAGCTCTATTCATCCCCATAGGATTGGCGTTTCTCAGCCCAGGTGCACGTCGTTGTGCAGGAAATTGCCCATTATTACCCCCGACAAATCGCCGTGGGTTGCCTGCTGCTCCGGCATTGTGATTTATTCCCATGGCGCCTCGTTGCTGACCATGTCGCACCTGCTGTCGTACACCAGCCTGGTTGTCTGGCTCTTCGTCATCAGCAAACACAGAGCATGAGAGAACAGTTAGGGTGATGACCACACAAAGGCTAAAATGACTTGATTTGCCCATCGTCGCGACCCAGGAGCGGACGAAGCCTCCGAATTAAAATCTCACAGTGAAGCGAGCATTGGGAACAATGCACAAATCTTTCATTGAACAAGGAGCGCGTCCGATAACCACACGAAAGGACGCTGTCCAAATTCCTGCCATGTGCCCACTGCACTGACTGTTCAGGTACAACTAGCTGTAGGTGCAAGGTACTAGGTGTAGATCTTGGTTTCTTGCATCCAGTGCATGCATATGACTCTGTTCCAGATTTTGCGTGTTTGTATGTACAGGTTCCTGCACGAGTACGAGGCCAGTACCGCGGAATCCAGCCCGCGCCGCGATAGCGGCAAGGGCTGGATGAACAGCGGTACTGGCCGAGTATGAGTGACTGGAATGTGTTTCCCGTGTGCACCCAAGCCAAATAAAGAGATACATGACAGACACACCTGCATTGTGTTTTGTGATTGTTTTCTGGTACAGTTTTTTGTAGTAGTCCATAGTGCTTTTTTTCTCGCGCGGCCATTGACATTGTCGACTGGGCATCGGGCATTCTGGCTGTTCTGTTCCTACGGATTTTTCCCACTACACGTCTTGATCGGAAACCTCGGCAAATTGCGCGGATCCTGCAGGTTGCTGAGCATTGCGCGCTTTGGTTGAGGCTCATCCGGCTCGTCCAAGATCTCCTTCGCGAGCGACTCCGCAATAAAAGTTTCAGTCTCTTCCTCAACTTTTCGGAGGAGCTCATTCGCATCGCCAATATCGTTCAACAAAGGGGCTTCTTTTCTCCCAGTTCCAGATCAAATGTTGGAGCGCCATGATGACAGTTGTGGTTGCAAACAGTCGCTCTTCTGCTTTAGTTATTTTATTAGTAACCAATGAAACTTGAAAGACCTTGAAGTAGAGTCAGTCCAGTGGCTACTGCCCGGCGACGGCCAGTTGAATCCGTTCCTGCCCGTCGTCAAGTGACGACGGGCAGTGGAATGCGAAGGACTAAAGGGACCGTCACTTAATTTTTGCCGACTACCCGCCAAAAAAATCTTTTCGTTTCACGTGTCACTGACACGTACGTCCGCGGAGTCCGCGGACCGCGAGCGCGTACGACTGGCGCTACCTTTCACGTCAAGCAATCTGTTCACGCCACATGGCTGGATAGCGCGTTGAAGACTTGCAAATTAATTTTTACAAGTCCAGGCGCTAGCCTAGGCAATGCCCAGGCGCTTGACTTTATTTTCGGAGAAACACTACTCATTGTAGTAAAAAGTAACAATGCGATATCATCAAGGAAGGATCGCTACCCTAATGCGAAGGAAAGGCCTTGCGCGGCCGCTCTACGAAGTGTTGAAGAGAGACTCAAAGTTAGTTGGTGGACGAACAACTCGCTGGTGCCGGAAAACTTGGCCTCCGACGATGGTGTTTGGTGAATCATCAAGCATGATGTCTTGTAGCAGTGTTCACCGAGGAAGGAGAACGCTCTAGCCGCTGCTGTTGTCCGTTTCATCCACGTTGGGCGTTAGCTGCACCGCGCCTATTGTATTCCATTGTATTCCATGGACACACGTTAGCATTCAGAGCGATTGTGGAGCCACAATTTACTTCACACAGCGTTGTATTGTCCACGAGCGCAAACTTCATTATCAGCAGTAACTGTTACTCTTCATCCTACATGTAGACTTGGAGTATACACGGCCTTGTCACGACAGCGACAGCTCTACAGAGTGTTCAAGTGAGAAACATTAATTTCAATTGTTGGTGGACGAATAAATGGCTGGTTCTGAAAAACGCGACATGCACCGATGGTGTTTGGTGGATCATCAAACAGGGTGACCAGCAGTGTTCACCGAGGAAGGAGAATGCACTCGCCACCACACCGATTCATCCAAGTGGGCGTTAGCTGCGCTGCGCCTACTGTGTTTTAGTATTCCATGGACGCACACTAGCGTTCTCAGCGATTGTGGAGCCACAACATATCTTCATGCGGCGTTGCACTGTCCAAGAGCAGAAACGTCAGCAGTGACCCATCATCATACATGTAGATTTGGAGTATACACACCATGCGCCAATGGGCCTTGGCACAACAGCGGCAGCTCTACGGAGTGTTCAAGTGAGAAACATTTGTTTCGACTTTTGGTGGACGAACAAATCGTCGGTGCCAAAAAACGTGGCCTGCGCCGATGGTGTTGGAACCATCGAGAGCTCCGGAAGCAGCAGCTGAGCCAGATCAGCCAGTCTTGCCAACTCTCAGTTGACGGACTCCGTGCTGCAGCTAGCAGCACTGGCACCAGCCGGAAATATTTTTCCGCCGATACCCGTTACTTCCAGTTCTGTCAAGGGCATGCCTGGAATCCATTGCCAGGTGATGACTTTTTAACGCTACCCCCCTCTTGAATCATAGTATAGTGGACTCTGTAATGAACAGATTATGAAACTCCCTGCAGATTTACTACGGTCATCTCTGGTGACTGGTCTTGGGGCACCGTGGAAGCTGTGACTGGTTGCCAAGTGTAGTTTTGTGACTGATCATGGGGCATTTGTGACTACTTCGAAGCACAGCCCTGATTGATCACAGAGTCTTACTGTTGTGAATATTTATATCGATTGAGAAGTCAAGCAGCCACGTGGCGCTGGCCTTGCAGCTGTGATTATGCATACGGTACATATTCACATGACTCTATTGTATCCTGGACACTGCTGGTCCATTGTTGCAGTGTCTAAGTGAACTGCAGAACCTATTCCGTGATGAAACACCTACTCTTGAAAGACTGAATGTTTGAGCTAATAGTCTTTTACTTCACTCTCATGCTGCTCATAACCATACGCCAGAAGACCCTAAGTTAGTTCTAAGATTTTGTGGACCATGTGACCATGTGGTACTTTCACTCTACAGCCAAGTCAACCCACTTCGTCAACACACAGGGTTTTCCTCAGACACAAGCGAATGGTTTACTCCACTCTGGAGAAGAACACAGTCTGCTCTCTCGAACACCAACCGCAGATAACTACGGAATGTAGGAAGTGCAACAACTGCTAGAATATTGAACTGTCGTCCACACAAAACAAATAAAGACAACTGAAAACCAAAACACATGCAACTGCCAACATGCATGTAACAGCAACTGCAAGCCAGAACTACAGACTCCACGCAGGGAGGAACAGGGGAAACAGAGGTAACGCTTCCGACTCCGAGAGCTTCGAATAGCAGCGGACAACACAATACATCAACCTTGCGTGTCACCTTGCGCGCAAACGAACACCTATGGATGCACAGTGCAGCACAGACTCAGTGCATGCACGGTATAATAACTGGAGTACAATTAAACCCACAACGGTCACCTTGCACCCTATGCAGTAAGTTACAGAGGCGGTGCCAACAAAATAGCAGGGTTCGTGTATCATGCACACTCCAATGGCACAGCAGAAAATGTTCTCACCAATAGCCACTGCTAGCTGTTTTGTCATCTTGCTGTGCCAAATGATGCTGTATAGACGCGCCAAGCAGAAATGGACTGCTTATGAGCGTGAACAGGCTGGATGGGGTGACTGATGGACTGTCGGAGTTGGCGAACCACAGAAATCGTGTCGCATCTCTGTATGCTGGGTTGGCACTAATTTGTAAAATGGCCTTCTCAGTATCGCAGGTCATGACGATTGGTGGCAGGCAAAATCGTAGAACAATGATGAATTGCCTAATGGCTACGTCGTTGTTAGTAAGATTGCCTGAATCCTGGATGTCAACGCAGTCTAGGTCTCACAGATCTGGGATGGTGCAGGAGTCGGAAGTTGCATCAGTTAGAGAAACGATAGCTGGCATGGCTGCTCATCGGCGTAGCTGAGTGCTTGGAGTGACGTGTTCGGCCAGTCACCACAAAACCGACTGTGGTAGGCAGAAACTGTAGTCCTGGCGGAAGTCCTCTGGTGCTCCCCGTCATAAACTCCCAGACGAAATCTGCACCGATCAAGACGACTGATCTTACGGTCAATGGCGATACTGGTTGATGCTGCACTAGCTGCTGTTGCGCTAGATGCTGGTACCTCGTCAGCCACAGGCTGATCAGCTACTATGTTGGTACTGCTGTCAGATTTCTGTTGAGATTCAGGGCAGATCGTGACATGATGGTGACTCTGATTGGTGACCCATGCGAGAACACACATTACACTTGCGGGTGGCCTTGCACTGAGTTGACCGGTGCCCTGTGCGCAAACACACAAAGCAACGCTTCTGTTCAATCAGTTATTCTTTCCGCTGTGCTACTGTTGTGTATTTCGCGCAGCTCTTGTCCAGGTGAGATCCGCCGCAGAATGCACACCCTCTCATACTGCTGGCATTCCAGTTAACATCAGACCGCTTCCTTCTGGTGAACTTGCATGCGCCTGTCACCAGTGCACCTGCAGAATAGTGAGTGACATCTTCTGCTGTAGTACCGCCTGTGTTTGTGCGGCGCAGAAAGGAGTCTTGCATGATAACATAACGCTTCAGTGCTGTTCTGAAGTCATTCAGTTTCCATTGTGTCCCTGCATCTGAAAAGCCTCGCGATTCGTCCAGTTGAATCAGCGTTCGGCATGATCCGTATCTTGGTCACAGCACCGTGTGACGATCTGGTGACATCAGACGGATATAATACACAAGAGACAATTGTGATATTTCTACGTTGTGTTTACTTCAGATACATAATCTAAATAAAAGGGGGGTTGTCAACCGACAACCGCTCTATTTAGTTGCTTTTCACTCTTTAGATGAAAATTCTTTTATTAATTATGTCGAAAAATTATGCGGTTGTCAGTTGACAACCACCCTTTAATTTACACTGCAGTTGCGTGATGTCCACCACTCTCTGTACATAATCTAAGAGTACTAAAACAGCCACTGACTTCCAACTACCAAGGGAAAGCAAGCCCAAGCGCAGGAGAACCGTGCGCGCGCGCGGGTACGTGACATATAATATCGTAGTAGAGCTGGCAGGCAAGGCATGATCAGGGGTTCAGGCCCTGCCTGTAAACGCTCTGATTGGCTCAAACCCTGGCAA